ATGTCTAAAGTGGACTATCGAAATAAAGTGTAACCCAAATGGGTGGTGTTTCTTTTGCTTTTACTCTGACTACCTACTAACCCTAAGTATTAAACGTTTTGTAACCCACCCTTCACAGATGACATGTATGACACATTAAATTATTTGAGTTGTTGTGGAGAGGTGTCCAATTAATCTTCTGAACAGTGAACAGATTAACGATTTACAAATGGTGGGCAATTAAATGATGTTTAATTAAGAAAGTTCGGGTGGAGCACGTTTAGAGAATCTACCCAATCAGGGGCGAGGAGGCCTATATATAAATAGCCGACTCACCCCTGTCCCATGATAGTGTTCCAGCATCTCTCCTCCACCCAAACTCCTCACTTTCAACTGTTCCTATCCCAGCCAGGGATGGGGGGAGTACTCTGGGCTCGGAGCCCTCGCCCCAGACAGCAGGCCAAATACGCATACTCTTTATTCTATTCGATTGTAAGTGTGAACTAGTGAAATGGGATGATAAAAAATCCTGTAGACCCACACTGAATGAGGGATGCAAGCCATATCTAGACATCAAAAATGTCATAAGCTACGTTTATGCCATTAAGTAATCCATTAGTAATCGGATTGATGGCTCAATTGGACTGATAAGGCTTCATGTAAACACCTCCATCGATCCTATTAACTTCAGCCTGAATTCAATTTTGATCGGATTGGAAAGGGTGGTGTAGACCTGAAATAATCTGGTCAATAGGAAAAAAAATAAGCATGTAAATGCTTGAATACGACTAGTTTCAGATTAAAAAATACCTTGTGCACATGCGGTGATTTTTACGTCTCACAAACATCCATGTTTATTTACGTCTTACGGACTGGTCAGTGAAGGACACTAAATTTTAAAATGTATTTACTAAATATTTGCTTAAAAAGCTCTTCTGTCACATGTGTCAGCTTTCTTTTTAGATGTCATTGAGGCAAAAACAACAATAGTGCTGCACTGAAGACATTTTTTTGTGGGCAAACCCAGAATCTATCTTCCCTCAACAAAATCCCAATAGGATTTTTTCATTGGCTTTTAGATTATTGCAGAAAATAAGCTCTGTGATCAACAAAAATGTTCGATTCTTACATGTTTTTTTTCATCATGATAATCTTCACGAATTAAATTTGAATTCTAAATACCTTCACCAGAAGTACAAACCTAAACTTAGGCTGTAAATTGCATGACTTCAACATCACCACCATTAAGCAACTCTTTCATTCTTTAATTAAAAACCTTTTTCCCTGAATGTTTGAGTTAGAATAGTTTGCAAGAGCACGACTATAAACACAACGAGTAGGTGAGTTTACCTATTCGGCGTGATGACGTTTTATGTTCCAACAACCTCAGTAGTCCCATTTAGCCGCATGCTAGCAACCACCTTTTACAAGACAAAAGCTTTAAAAAATCCCCAGGGGGGTGTTACTGATGTATTCTTTGTTGTAGAATGAAACTATTTTGAGCTTGTGTTCACCACAAATCTTATTTCAGGCCATTCAGGACTAAGGAACCGGAAATGCTAAAATGCTAATTTGTTTCTGGGTTTTGGCTTACAAAATGACGTCGTCCCTGCAGCACTCTATTTTACTCACGGTAGGTGCGGTGACAGTGCGCATATGCTGAAGTTTCATATGCAAATGTAAACAAATTTGTGAATCGAATGGAAGTTCAGGGTTCATTTAAACAGGACTTTCATAAGCTGAAATTGGACTGGATTCATTCAGATTAAAAAATACTAGTGCATGTAAACATACCTATAGAGACGTGGAGGTGATCTCTGTTGGCCTGGACCAATTTGATACCACCTAGAATAACCTAGAACACCCTAGTTATTACCCAGAAATCCTAGCAACTGTAAAGGGTAACTCTTTATTTTACAGTGCCCTTGTTACATATGTTACATGTTACTATAGTAAAAACAGTAACTTATGCATAATTGCATGCTAATAACCCTCAACCAAACCCTAATCCTATCCTAACTCTATAGTAAGTACATGTAGTTAATAAATATTACCTGTAACCAGTAACACTGACACTTAAAATAAAGTGTAACCCTGTATAGCAACCCATACACCTAGAGAATGTGATTCCATTATGTTTTGACTCAAAATAACATATCTGCCCTTTAGCATCCCACATTCATGACATTTTCCATTATGGAGAACTATTCAGCTGCATATTTTTGTGCAAAAATTACTAAACACTGCAATTATCTACAGTCCAAGGAAAATGATTTCATACATAGCTGAACCACTCTCATGTCTTCATCGTGGAATAAAATGATTTCAACTCACTATTTCATGTCCATTTCTTTGGAAAGTAGCCAGCTGATCACTGGATTTATATTGCAATAATAACGGTTTAATTGTATTTTATTTCTTTAACTAAAAAGTAGTTTTTTTATCATTTGAATTTGACCCATTTAACAAATGAAAGTCAAGATATTGTTGTAAAATAACATTGTTTTAAATGATCATGTTTTCCAACAGCATGTTTTGTATGAATGCAGGTTAGTGGACACTGAAGACACGACACAAAGAGTTTTATATTTAACAATATATATTTTCCGATTTCAATGTACATTCCGTTTTGACATAAGCTTTTATTCACAAACAAAAGTAGGCATCTAAATAAATACTATATAAAATAGAACTTCAAAATAAATATATCTATAAAGGGACATTTTCATATGTGTGAGATTTTTTTTTCTTTTTGCTTTTTTAAACAAAACAAAAGCACATTTCTCTTTTCTTTAATCCTCAACATTAACAATGAAGCCAAAAAAAATGCAGAGAGTACAAGCACAGTTTGGAAGGCAGCTTAAAGTGGGTTAAAAAGAATAGGTTTCTAGTGGCCAAGAAACTGTACCACAAAAAGACATAGCGTACTGATGGAAATATCTCAGCAATGGGTTGATAGAAGGAAGATCGTTCAATTACGCGTAGGCCAGATTATTATGTGAACAACCATAAAGTTTCTCTGTAGTCAAGAGAAATGTGAAAGATGGGTTGGGGCAAAAACCAAATAGGATGGAATGTAATGTTACTTGAGAGGGATCCCCGTTCCTCCCAGTTCACGCACAGCAGCTGTATATGTCAATCAAGCACTGAAGATGTTGCACCATTTTAGGAGGAAGGAGGAAAAACAAAATGCTTGGCCACATTCGGGTAACAAAAACCCCCAAAAACGTTACTTTGAGCGTGATGAAATGCCGTTCCTTCGGTGAATGCAATTAAATCTACAGTTTCAGGGGCACTGAGGAACCGGGAATTAGCCTTGCCTCTCTCGTGCTAATGAGGCATGGCTAGCATTAACAGAGGTATTTTTATTGCCTGGCACACTTTTCTAAATCAAGTGCTTGTAATTGAAATACCTAAAACACCCTACCTTCTATGCCACAGCCACATAATCTTAACCCCCACCCGCCCCCAGCCCTCCCAAAAAATATAATAATTCATTTATATACTTTTGTACTGAATTGTAATTAAATTGTACCATGCAATTTCTCAGGACATTTGAAACATATTTTAAGATAGCTAGTTTCTTGAGACTATTTACAAGAACGTGTAACCTGCATAGGTCAAAATCTAAGATATCTATGGTACATTTGCAACTCTTCTCTATGCAAGCTTCTCCATTCAGAACTACTCTGGCACTTATCCACGGGTTAGATTGCAAACTTAAACTTAAACACTAGCCTTAAACATTCAAGACTAAGAACAGTAGTGTATTTCTGCCTTTCTGATTTGTGCAACAAGTACAAACGTTGGAGTATGTGGGACTAAATGAGCGAGGTCCGAGTTCGGTCTAAATGCGTGAACCGTGGGTTTGTGTTGAGCAGGCAGAAAACATTCCCTCGTGCTCCAAGACTCTAGGAATCCTGGGAAGTAGAGCACCGTACCTTTAAGAGCTTACTGTCGCACTAATTGGCTAGAGTACAACAATGCATGCTCACTTGAAAACAAACAATTAGAATTATAAAATGGTCAACGCAAACTCCATGGTGCACTCCTTTGGCAAAATCTCTATACTCTACATATAACAAAAATATATGCGGAGAAAGCAGTTCGATACTAGGGCACGTTGATAGAGCGTTGTGTTTGGTGGTGGTATGGTGCGTAGTAAACTAGAGGAACTTTTCCAACTACAGTGAAACACTTTGTACATGCTACTGTACATAATACTGTGCTTTTGCCTTATTATAATGGTGATACAATTGGCATGTTTAGTTTATTAGCGGCAGAGCAGTAAAAGCTAACTTTATAGCTTCTCCTTTTCCCGTAACTACTGGCCCTATATTTCTCATAGCTTATGAATGCTTGGTGTCTGAATTGCTGTTTTTTTACTTTTTTCCCCCAAACAATTCCACTCCCTGTTTCCTTAACTCTAGTCACCAAACTAGTTCCAAGCTGAATTCACACGCTGTACGTAATTCAGATGAACTGATGATCCCTGAGGTCATTATCTACAACAAATTGAACCGCTTACATTTGGAAGAATCATTATGGAAGTTCATGTATGCTATGGCATGTCATCAAAGGGACTACTTATGAAAGCTATTTCACCTATTTGCCGTCAAAAACAAACAATATGTCCCCACAGAAGATAGAAACATCCTGCCACGTGGTTATGGGTGGTCACCAACGTCTTTCGCAATAGTACACATTGCATTTAGGGACATCAAGGGAACTTAGAATCCTTCAATGAAACGAAATTACCTCCTATGTTTGCATTTCAAACAACAGAAGAAATAAAGCTCTATAACAAGCTTGTAAATGCACTATGCACAGAGATGAAGTCTGGTTATTTTGATTGTGACATGTTATCAGCTTGGAATTCGCTGCAACCTTTCCACAGTGCCAGATCCGGAGAGGGATTGCCAAAGTATAGAGTGTTCTTGAATGGGTGATATTTACTTTGACTTTTCAAAGCCACCCAAAGAGAAAATAAACATCAGAGAAGAGATCAGAATCTTTTTAAAAAAAAAGACATTTTGCTAAAATGCAGCATTCTGTGTTGGCAAGTTCTTTTACTAGGGGCTGAAATGGCAAATACTTTGATCCCGCAGCCATTGTGAGAACCCCAGGAAAAGAAAATGCAGGCCTCTCCTCTGTAGTACTGTATAAACAAGTAAAATAATGGTTTGTGCCCGTTGGTCAGTCAAACACTGCTACTGATTTACGCCAGAATACCTTGAGCGTGAGGATAATGCGTGAACCTTAAGTACCATGATTTTGGGAAGTACACCACTACTGGAGAGGGTCCTGCAAACTTTGCTCACGAGTCTTTTTGTACTCTCCATTTCTGGCACATCATCACGAGGCTTGCTTTTCCAGCTGACAGGCCTTGACCTCCGCCACCTTGCAGGACTGGGTGCTTTTGCAGCGGCAGCCTGGGCGGCTGATGCCATCGTAGCACTTCTGCGAAAGCTTGGCGCAACCAGTGGCGGGCAAATAACACATCAGGCAGGGCAGCACCAGTGAAACGGCTGCCATGAAGGACCATCGTGCGCAACAGTTCGAGTGCGAGCAGGAGCATGGCTTGTCGGCACAGGAGCCTTCCTCGTCCTCATCAGTGCAGTGGTAGAAGACGCCCTTGACTAGACACATGCAAGTGACAGAGTCCACTAGGTTCTGCGCTGAGCACAAGCAGTCTTGGTTGCAAACCCAACAAGAGGGCAAGGCCCGAGGCAATGTGCACTCCGTACATCGGCATTTGCCACACTTGTCACACAATAGCACATGCTTCTTCTCTACTGGCAAGGCCGTCACTGCCTTCAGGTTCTGAGTCTTGGAGCTCATCACCTTGGGTTGCTCTGAACCTAGAGTCCTGCCATGGCCATTGCCAGTAGTGTATGGATCCACAACAGGGGGGGGAGCTGCATGGTCCAGCAGCCGTTGGTCGGAGGAGGTGCTGCTGGAGCTGCTGATGGAGCTGGGCCGACCGCTGAATGAAATCCACGGATGTGTGGTGGCATCTGGGACCTCGCAGCGGGACAGATGAGGATGGTGTGGGGCTCCCAGCAGGACTTCCTGCCCCCTCGTGCTTGCCTTGTGGCTTGGTGGCTGTTGTGAGATCACAGCAGGGGTGTCAATGTAGTCATTCTCCAAATGTAAAGATTTCATTTGGTCAATGGGATAGATAGTTAATGGGTGCTGGAGCCGTCCGTAGGGAACTCGGCTGTCCAGCAAAGGCTGCACCATGATGGAGGAGGAGACTCCAGGAATGTGGTGAGGAACCCTTGACTCCATCTGTAGGTTATGTTCCTCATATACCAGAGATCAGGTCAGCATTTAGCACTCCTGCAAAGATAACAGCACAGCTTAGTACTGAAAAGCACCCTCATAGGATTCTATTCTTTTCACACTTTTTTTTTCTTGCCAATAACAAGATTGGTTTGTGTGTTGGAAACACCTACATCTAAAATAAAGTTGGCCTTTGCATAACAGAGCAAATTGGAGCTTGAAAATGACATGTGTAAAATAATTAGGGTTAACTGAAACTCGTAATTATAAGTAAAAAAAAGAGTGTTTAAACCTTCACATCAACAATCAGATTTATTTGTATCAGTTTAGAGTACAAGCCCGCACTAGTGTTCTGAAGGGAGGGGTTTATTCAGAATAAACCAAACACAAGTTAGTAAAACCACACATAGGCTAAATTAAGAGTTACAGCTTTTTAAGTTACAAATCAAATCGCTACAAGTTGAAGTCGTCAAACCGGGATTCATTATGATTAATTTGACGTATACTCAAGAGTGTAAGGGTTCAAATCATCTCTTCAACGCAGCTGCACGTTTGAAACATTTAATCCAGGGAAATATTTTCGTTGGACGGTCCTGTAAAATGTTACACAGCCTATGTGTCTCTATATGTTTGCTACAGCGCTGAAGATAGCCTCTAACTGTATATGATGTGGGGGGAAAAATCAACCTGTTGCAGGATTTTTGCGTGAGCTATCTAATATATTATTGAAGTGGCACAGGATACGTTTCGAATTAAGGGCTTCTGTGCTTCTCTTAAGCAAGCTTGCACCCTACTGTCGTGTCGTCTATTAAAACGACAGTTTATCCTACATGCTGGCGTGCCTCAATTACAGTTTCATACAAAGCAGTCTACATTCAAACGGCGTGTTTAATACAGACTTTTACATAATTACTACAATATAATTTAAACGCCTGTCTCTGACTAATCTCCGTAAAGTTTTTTACTCATTAAACCAGTGTTAATATCGAATGCGCGAGCTGCAGTGAAGCGTCACGCGATGATATTCGACAGAACGCGAACGAACGAGCTGCTCGCGCGAGCAAATGGCACAGATTCGTGATACGCAACACGAAATCCTGTTGTTTCTCCGATCAAATGAAACGACGTGTACGGTTAACCTCGAATCCTCACCTGTTTTACGCGTCCATTTCATTCTTAAATCGCATAAGATCCTGTCGTGGTTAGTGTCCGTAGTTAAATATTTACACAAGGCACATACACATAGAATGCATGCGTTGCTAAAGAACGGCTGTATCGGCGCTTTGTGATAAACCAGCAAAACGACTCGATTCGAAAGAATATGAAACTCCGTGTTTCAGCGTTGTCTTTGACATTTGTATTATAGTATTATAGCCTATTACAAAAATATAAAGTAGGCTACATGGCATGCACGCACACACACACACACACACACACACACACACACACACACAGGCTATATAGTAATATATATAGCCTAGGCTATATATAAAATAAAAAAACTAAACGAAAAACTCACTTGTATTAGAAAACAGATCATTTCCTTCTCAGATGAACAGATTATTGCGATATATTCCAACAATAGATAGATCCAAACGAAGCCACGAAGGGAAAAAAAATCCGGACGACTATCCGTGCGATGTGCACTGCAGTAAGGACACAGTCTTCTTCTCCATACGATGTTGCAACTACATGAGGGAAATGGCTTTTTATGAATGGGAGGGTTAGAAATGTACTGCGCAGATGCTTTGACAGATTTTTTTGTGAATGGGAGGGCATTACGACTCGGGGGTTACACTTTTATGAATGGGAGAGCTCCGGATTTTACAGCGCATGCGCCATTTCAAGATTTCATGAATGGAAGAATGGGGGGCTTTTCGTCACAAGGGCAATGCCAAAGCGGATTACATGAAGAAGGCGGCCACAACTGCTTTAATTCATGTTTTCTATACATTGCCTTGTGTCTTCTTAAGGTCCTGACCTATTATGGTATGGAAGTATTCTTCTCTTTCAACGAAATTTAATATGTAGGCTATAGGCTACAGGACAAATTTTAACTGCGGTGTTCGTCTGTTATTGTTTGATATGACGCACTGGGAATGTAAAATTGTTGGATAGTTAGATAACGGTTTAGTCCTAAACACTTCCGAGTTTCGTCAACACCTGTTAATTTGTAAGCCGATCCAGTGCACTTTATCCTCTTTTTTTTTTTTTTTTTTGGATAATCAGAAAACAGGGCAGGAACAATCGGCATTGCTTAAAATGAAGAAGAAAAATATATATATATAGAGAGAGAGTTTAATCAGTTCCATTTTGATTTCCTATTTGATTGAGCTCGCGCACTGGAGTAGCAAAAACACGTTTATGACGCAGCAGCATGAGGTCATGCAGGATCAACAAAAGAACAGGATGTTGTCGATTTGTAACGATCCCACAAGCAGGAAATGTGTGTGGATTTCCTTTTTAACACCCCCCTGTCTACCCTTCCCCCCACGGATAATTCCCAGCTTGTGGCTTGACTAATGCTGTCAAATGTTAATGGCAGCCTCCACATTAGCACACATTTCCATGACAACATCTGCTTTCATATTAAAAATACAATCACATTTTTTGATGTGCTTAATTTAGGAGAGAAAGGTTTTCATTATTATTATTATAGCTTTGTTAGGTAAAAAAAAATACTGTGCTAAAATGGTATATCCCTCTAGAAAAAAAAGAAAGCACTTTCAATATTGATTAGATGGAACCTGAGGGAGAGAGAAAGAGCTAAATATAGTGCATGCTCTCTCTCTCTTTGAACACAGTGTTTCCCATTTGGTGCAAACGACCACAAACTGAGAACAGGATTATCAAATGGGGCAATTTAACATCTCCAATACACAATGGGTTACATAGCATACCATACCATGGAAAATCATTCTGCCAAATGTCATATAAATCTAATGACACATCGTGATTATTATTTTGTATTATTTACGTTCTGCCAAATGGCATACAAATCTAATGCTGAATCATTGATTATTTATTTATTTACGTTCTGCCAAATGTCATATTTCTAATGATGAATAATTGATTATTTATTTATTTACGTTATGCCATATGTCATATAAATCTAATGATGAATCATTGATTATTTATTTATTTACATTCTGCCATATGTCATATAAATCTAATGATGAATCATTGATTATTTATTTATTTACGTTCTGCCAAATGTCATATAAATCTAATGATGAATTATTGATTATTTATTTATGTATGTTCTGTCAAATGAGATATAAATCTAATGATTAATTATTGATTATTTATGTATTTGTTTACGTTCTGCCAAATGTAATATACATCTAATAATGATTTATTGATTATCTATTTATTTACTTTCTGCCTAATTTCATATAAATTTAATGATGACTCACTAATGAATGGGTAATTCATTAATTAATTATTTAATTCATTCATTCATTCATTCAATCACCAGTCTATTTTTTATCTCCCAGTCTATTTTGCTTTTCTGACTTTAAAGGGTTAGTTCACCCAAAAAGGAAAATTCTGTCAGTAATTACTCACCCTCATGTTGTTCCAACCCCGTAAGACTTTCGTTCTTCTTCTGAACACAAATTAAGATATTTTTTTTTATGAAATCTGAGAGCTGGATCACTCCTCCATAGGCTGCTATGTAATTACATCTGCCGGCCCAGAAAAGTTAGTAAAAACATTGTTAAAATAGTCTAAGTGACTACAGTGGCTCAACCTTATCAAGCGACGAGAATACTTTTTGTGCGCATAAAACAAAACAAAAATAACAACTTTATTAAACTATTCATCTTCTTCTGTGTGGGCCTCAGAGTGAGTTCACGAGTGCCATGACGCATGCGCGAGAACTGAGAAGATGATGTGATGGGTTTCGATGTAGTGTTTAAAATGGTTCTAAAGTGTGCATTTCCTGGATGTCCGAATCGGTAAAAGTGCCTTACCAATGCCACAAAACGAATGGCTTACCTTTCCCATCAAATGTTCGTGAGCGTTGTCTTAGTTCTCGCAGATGCGTCGTGGTGCTCGTGAACTCACTCTGAGGCCCACACGGATGACAATCAATAGTTGAATAAAGTCGATTATTTTGGGGGGGGTGGTTGCGCACAAAAAGTATTCTCGTCGCTGGATAAACTTAAGGTTGAGCCACTGTAGTCACTTAGACTAACAATGTTTTTACTAACTTTGCTGGGCCGGCAGATGCAATTACATAGCAGCCTATGGAGGAGTGAGACAGCTCTCAGATTTCATAAAAAATATCTTAATTTGTGTTCCGAAGATGAACGACAGTTTTATGGGGTTGGAACAACATGAGGGTGAGTAAATACTGACAGAATTTTCATTTTTGGGTGAACTAACCCTTCAACCCTTGTTTTAGTGTTTAACGTTAGATTGTTAGAGATTTATTTTTGTGCAACCATTCATAAATAAAAGATTATAAATATAATTGGATTGGTAGTTTGTAACTCCAAAAATTCTCACCCTCATTTTTTTTAACAACCCCAATGTATTGCAGTTATAATCTGCTTAAAGTTTTATCACTTAGAGCTGTTCTTTGTAAATGATTTTTTATGATACTCGATGATAAAAAAAATAAAATAAATACAAAATACTCGATTATCACTAACTTAAATCTGTGCTGTTGCTTTTAGGCTAGACTTGAGTAGTGACCTGATTTAAAAACCAGCAGCCTGTGTCCAATTGGGGGGTCCCTCAGCTTCAAGCCAAGTCCACAGGAAGGAGCTTGTGAGAGGGATATATGCAGAGAATGCCCGCCTTTGGAGATCTGGGCCTGTGTGGGAAGAAGGGGAAGGCCCCTTCTGGTCCCCTGCTGATAGGGAAGGGAAAGCCGAGCTCTTGGTGAGATGGTGACCCTCGACCCTTCTTCAGAGAACTGACAGGAGTGGCCCTGAACTCTCACCCATGGGACAAACTAGCGATGAAGCGTGACCTGTTGCTGGGGGCGTGGACCTGCCATTCAGGCCGCAAGCATTCTGGGCATTCCACGCGTCATTCCCCTTACATAGCAGACTCCCCCCTCCCATGAGAACCCACTCCAGTACCCCACTATCCCCATCACAAAGTTCCCATTCCACACCATCAATGCTAGACACCATTACCTGCATTTCCACACAAGCCTTTTATAGGAAAAAGCCAGAAAAGAGGACTTAACGTGTCAAAACAGAAACCAGACAGGACGCTCAAATCCAAAGGTTTGCCAAAGACTTGAAATTTGAGGAAAAATAGTGTGTTTTTCAGCCTCTTTATATGTATGTTTGCATAGATGAAAATCCCCACTTCCTGTGACAGCAGCTGGTTTTCGGCAGAACTGGATAAAATCAAAAGAAATGTGTGAAGCCTGCAATAACATGCCAGCTACTCTTCTTGTTAAACAACCTGATCTTATCTTTATCAAAAGTATAGCAATATATGGACTTCACCATGTTCATGTTATAGTATTTTGCCCATTTCAGTTATATGTTGAAAAAAGGGGTTTGAGTCAGCTGTTATGAATCTGACCATAATGCCAGTCAGTGCAGTTGGGTGGCAAAGTAGGAGGTCAACCTTCATGCTGTCCTCAGCGCTACTTGCTGACATGAGAATGCCTGACCTTCATTAGTAGTGCATCATGGAGTCACTAACAGCGGGGAGCTATATTTGAGACCTGAATCAGCAATGCTGCCCCAAGCAAAGCACAGTGGATCAGCATTATCCATCCCAAGGAGGCCTTTGTTGACAAGCTATCAGCTAAAATAAGCTCCAGCTGGGAGGAGGCACACATTTCCATCAGCAGCCCACTTCCTGTGAGACAGCGTTTTTCTGAATGATGAAGGAGAAGCGTCCACACATCCACCAGACATTACTCTATTTTGTTTTGTGAATAAAACTAATTAATGATTAATGAGCAGGAGGGCTTTGAGTGTCAGGCCTTGTTCACACTAATACGTTTTCGTTTGAAAATGCATCTCTTTCTCTCCATTTTGGCCTTCTGTCCACACATGTTTATTAATGAAAAAGAAGCTTTTTGAAGACGCTCTCCAAAGTTTGAAAACGCCATTTTCACGTTGTAGTGTCGACTGTCAAAACGGTGGTATTTAAAACCGATGAAGTTTGGTCATGTGACGCATACTGTACCAATAGATTTTTTACATATTGTGCCTGTTATTCACTTTCACACTGTTGCTTAAATATGTTACTTTGCACACTCTTCATACCACAGTCCTGCAAAGATGACAGAAAATTTACTCACATTTGCAGTCCTGTGGCAAAACATAAGAGCAGTTGCGTTTTAGGCCAATCATGGTGACTGAGTGTGACCTGGATGCATCAGTGAATGATGAGATATTTTGCTAAATAAAACGCCTGAAAATGCTAGTGTGGACGCAGAGCGTTTGTATGCGGATTAATGTAGACGTAGCCTCAGTCAGTGAAACAAGATTAGGAAGTGCTAACATCCAGAAATATCTACATAATGTGCGTCCTTAGGTATTTGTAACATTTTGCTTGGCAATCTGACCCGAAATCCCTGATATATTCAGAGTTTTTGCTGCTTTACTGCCGTTTCCATTTTGTTAATTAGCCCTATTGTCTGCTTATCAATCAGATTAGCACTGGGGGATCTGGGTGGAGGGTGCTGAGTAGAGCAAGTTTACCCAGGAGGAAGTGCAGGGCTTTGATCTCTGCTAATGAGCTGCCAATACTGCCCTCAAGGGCCACTTCC